AAAGGGGGGGTGGGTGAAGAAGGGGCTCAGGGTCATTTTAAAAAGGGAGATGATGAGGAGCTCGGTGGGGGTCGTGTAACGACAGAACAGCAAAACGCGAAGTTGGGGGGGGGGGAGTTAACAGGGAGGCGGCCTGGTTCCAAAGGTCCGTGCGGGGGAGGGGGGGGGGGCGAGTGAGGTGCAGGGAGCCGCCGCCTCCTGCTCAGGGAACCCCGGGGCATAGGCCCAGGCTCTGCGGTCCCTCCCCGCGAATGGTTCCATCACCATCTCTGCCTCACTCCCCTTTCCCTTCCCCACACACACACCCTCACCCTTTTGTCTCCCTCCCAAACAAAACAATCTGTCCTGTCCTTCCGTAACAACAAACCTGCCCGAGATTAGATTAGACCAGACCCTCCGATACGGAATGCACGCGTCCGGCTAGCAGTACCGCCTCCTCCTCTTCTTTATATAAACTACCGCCGCCTCCTCACAGCCACCATTTCCGCCTGAGCCGGGTAGCGCGCCGCCTCTGGAGGACCGACCGCTTCACTTTCGGAGGACCGCCCGCTACGTATCCATCCGCCACCGCCCCGCCGTAGTCCAACCCCCCCCAACCCAACAGCAGGAGCCGTGTGCCGCTCCGCTGGAGGACCGACCGCATCACTTTCGGAGGACCAGCGGCTACGTATCCATCCGCCGTCGCCCGGCAATAGTCCTCCCTCCCCCACCATTACCTAAGAGCCGTGTGCCGCTCCGCTGGAGGAACAGCCGCATCACTCTGGGAGGACCAGACACCTCCATACCCTACTCCTCCTTCAAGGAACCCGCTGAGTATATGTTAACCATTTAACCGGCTAAGCGTCGTTCTCCTTACAACGCCTCACCCGCTTTTGGTGTGTTGTTGAGCGGCCAAGGCATCACATAACGGGAGAACTATTTTCTTTCTTGTCCTGGTGGATGGATTTCACCGCAAGGCCGCGTAGTGTTGGGGTACCACGTGACCAGGTTCACTCTTAAAAAGCCAAGGCACTGAAAATTGCCAAAACCTGGCCAATGCACCTCAAATACAATGCTTTGTTTATTTGGAATAAACGTGTGATATTTGCTTGTGTTAATTCTCAGTTTCTGGATCAAATGCACCAATGAAAGCTGAAACACATTAATCTATTACAAAACAAAGATGCTGGAGGTCTGAAACAAAAACAAATTGCTGGAGAAACTGAACAGATCTGCCAGCATCTGTGGTGAAAGAAAGCAGAGTTTAACCGTTTTGAAGCTGGTAACTCCAGCAGAGCTATCGGTTACCAGACTGGAAATGTTAATACTGCTTTCTTCTCACAGGTGCTGCCAAGCCTACCAAGTTTTGCTGGCAATTTCTATTTTCATTGTATTGTTTTTTTTGTCCCAAATGGTTTGACTTTGCCCCCACTGACTGTAAGATATAGGAGCAGAAGTAGGCCATTCAGCCCATCGTGTCTGCTCTGCCACTGTGGGCAGCACAGTGGCTCAGTTGTTGGC